AAAAAAAAGAATCCTGTGGACCAAAATCAAACAGGCGTATTCTCAGAATACGTTTTACATTGAAAAACGTATTCTGAGAATACGTTTCTAAAGTAAAACGTATTCTCATGTTCCGTTTTATAACGAATTAAATTTTTAAACATGATTAACTTAATTACATTAATATAAAACGTGATTAAGAAAATTAAATTAAATAAAAACGTATTTTCATAATACGTTTTATAAGAAACGTATTTTCGAAAAACGCTTTAAATACAAAAACGTATTTTAGATATACGTTTTTTTATATAAATTTTATATACTATAAATTATAAAAAATTAGTAAAATTTTTGAATTTTTTTTAATTGAAAACGGATTTTTAGAACACTGTTTTCTTATGACAATACGTTTTCAATTAAAAAAAAAATCAAAAAACGTATTATGAAAATATGTTTTACTGTACAGAAACAGCAATTTTACAATAGAAATAAAATAGAACACCTGTTTGTCGAAATCGATTCCACAACCAAATATTCAACAACCAAATATTCAACCAAAATATATCAATTCCACAAATAAATTTGAAGCACAATAATTTATTCAAAATACCAATATGTGTTAATTTAATTACACAAAAGTCAAGAAAAAAAATATCCATAAATTTCATAATAGTTGCTAGGAGTGAATTGATCCGGAGGTCTGCGCTCTCGGTAGCCCTTCCGACGCTGGTACGTCTGTAAAGAAGACGAGGCTGTGGGCGTGGCAGCTTCTTCTTCTGTATCTGAATAAATGATATTTTAAGAAAATATCGGAAATTCTACTTGACAATAAATAAATAAATAATTTAAAAATCATATTGCAGTTAAGTAAAAAAATCTGACCTTCTTCTGTTTGTTCCTCAGGCACGGTATTGGGAGGCACGGTGTCGGCGGGCACGGTGTTGGCATCGAGTTCGCGGACACGGCGTCTTCTACGCCCGCCAATATTGGTAGCAGGTCGATGCCTCGCCCAGTGCGACTGCGTCGGTTGGGATCGGACATAGCTCTCTTGAGATAGAACTTGACTCGACGACGTCCCTTGTGTAACCCCTTGTCCTCCGACAGTCAGTCCACTGTAGAGCATGTTTTGGGACTGTGCGATTATGGACTGCTGCTCTGGAGTGAGTGCATTAAAGTCAAGGGTCGATAACAAGTTATAAACCCCCTCCATGGCATTGGCCTGAAAAAAAAAATTGAAAATTATTACCATTAAACAAAAATAAATTAATAATAAGAATAATAAAAAAAAAAACACAATTTATTAACACTTACACTGCACATCCCCTGCTCAGACAGTGGATGAAAGCCTCCTTCCTGTTGGACCATCGGGTTGTTGTCAGGATTACTGATTAGTCTCACAGTCCTATAGTGAAACCAATCAAGGTAACCCGGCTCAGGCTCAAGGAACGACTCCACAGGGTAATGTGGAAGGACATGTTGGGCTCTTTGTTCGACCCAAACATTCCCAAGTGCTCCATGATACTCCACCCAATCATAGAATGCCCTTCCAGTCATTCTCTGGCCTCGGTGGTGTGTCTGGTACTCAGCCAAACCCCTAATGATCGGAGGGTCGGGGATGGTTTGCCGACACCCGAACTGACGGATGACCCTATCAGTCAGGTGCTGCTCACGAATGTCCCAACAGAAGATCCACCTTCTATACATCCAGAGGTGTGAACCTTCTGTACACGGGGCCGGGAGAGTACCCTCGTCCAGGTGGCGCTTATATGGCACTCAATTGAACTGTAAAAAAATAATAAAAATATTTATTAAGTTATAGAAAAATAAAAAACGAAAAATAAATATATATAATAATCAATATTACTTAATAAAAATCTTACATCATTCTCTCTCAGCCACGTTAATTGATCTCGGATAGCGGATGTTCCCTTTCCGATGTGTTTCATATTCCTCCGTCTCACCCACCTTAAAAATCACATAATAAAAAAAACCAAAAATTCTAATCACAAAATTTTATAGTTAAAATATTCTAAGTATTAAATATAAATAATGCGATTACTTTGCTCCTAAGGGACAACCATGGACTCTGTCAAAGTTGGTATCCCTCATTTTTGGGCTAATACGAGGGATACGTTCCCATGCCCAAACCTGCAGATATCGACATATATTTGGTTAATATATATTAGGATAAAGTATAATAAAAAATGAATGAAGTAATAACAAGTAAGTACATTTATTTACGTGAATCAATTGAACACAGTTCTTGATCCAGCCTTCCCCGGCTCTGGCGGTCGTGGTGAGCCCTCTATAGACCCCGGCCAGGACAGCTGAACCCCAGTTGTACTGCTTGATCTCATCGATCTCGAGCAAGTGCTGCATCCAGTACAGCATGACCCCATTCGCCCTCTGATCGGGGAAGAAAAATGACCCAATACACCAGTGTATAAGCGCCCTCGCCCTCTCTTCGTAGCGAGAGGAAAGCTCTTCATTTGTTAGCGGTCTATAGCACTCCTTTTCAATTGCCGAGGTCTTCAAAAACTGGCCTGTAAGTTCCGGGGTGCCCTCCGG